CGGCAGCAGGCGGCGCTTCAGGGCGCCCGGCGGCCCCCGACAGGAAGACGGCAAGGCTGGCAGAGATGGCAGAACATGCAGAAGAGGCTCTCGTGTGGGCCGAGGGCGCGCTCAAGCAGAAAGACGTTCAACAGGCGCTGATGGTGCTACTCGCGCTATCCTGCCAGCGCGCCCAGCAACTCCGAGACCTCGCCGCTTCCGAATGGGTCTCGATCCTCACTCCGACGGTCTCAGAGGTGATCAAGGCAGGCCGTGCAGCAGGCAGGCAGTACTCCCAGGCAGCACAGATCGAATCCATCAAGCCGCAGCTTGGGCCCCCTCATTTGTACATCGCGCGCGCCGTGTGCAAGCGGCTAGCGGAGTCGCCAGCTCTTCAGACCAACAAGCCGCAGGCACACATGATCATCGAGCAGTTCTACAAGAAGTTCGCGTCGGTGGCCTCAGTGCAAGAGCTCGCGCTGATGATCAGGCACTTCAGGCTCGAGAAATGCTACAACGACGAGTACGCGCGCATCCAGTTCTCTATCGCCGACTCGCCCTACATGCCCGCGGTCGACAGTCGGTCCGAGATCTCTCACAGCAGGCTAGAAATCGAGAGCGCGACGATTATTATGCTGGAGGACCTCGGCGGGAAGGCGGAGCAGCCCCTCAGGGGCGCCTAGAGACGCTGGCCCAGAAGTTACTCGACCAAACAAAAACGAAGGAGGGCAGCAAAATCAACGGGAAGAAGTGACGTGGGGGAGCAGATTGGCAGCACTACAGGAGCATATTCGACGGAACGAACCTCATCGGGCAACGTCTTCCTTGGACTGGTAGAAATCGAAGCTTTCACTACTTTTGGATCGGGTCATCACGTTTGCTTATACGGACGTGTTCTTCCGACATCTCACGGCGTGTGAGGTCATGGACGACTCTCTCGGACTACGTTGGTGTTTTCTTGAAAGGCATACTTTTCCCTCGACGGAATCACGTCGGAGTTGAATTTGTTGTATCGTCCTTGCTACACGTCCGACCGCGGGTGACCCGGACTCGATCGACAGCGTCGACTCTTTCTTTGGCACACTGGAGCCTTGATACGTGCATATGCCGAGACCTTCTACGCGACGCCATGGGAATCTTTCATATTGAAGCGACGTCAGCTGCACCTAGCTCTGTCCGCCTGTGCCAACCTCTCCTTCGGTCTTTCTCGGGCTCCGTGGACCCCGTCTCGGTCGGAGGTCGGCCGGAGGCCTCCAAGCACGGTTTTGGCAAACATTGTCGTGGCAAATCCTGGCCGTCTTGAACCAAGGCCTAGCCGAGGCCTAACGGCCGAGGCCCCTGAGACGGGGAAGGAAAAAACCCAGAAACCATGCGTTGTACAGTCAGCCTCAGCCACGGCAGCCTGCGGATACTGTCAAGGCCGCTTCTTTTACTTTGCATTCGTGGGAACGGATTTACCACACGTTCGAGGAGTTCCACACTGAACTTCCTCCTCTCTTAAGGCTCTCGGCCGACCCCCGACCAGGCTGCGCGGCAATTCAGTACGAAGCTGTTGGATGTAGCCCCCCAGCCCTCCCTCCACCTACACCTCCTCTCCTTTAATTCGTGCTTTCTCGTCGTCAGGAGGAGGAGGAGGAGGGAGGAGGGGAGAGGTTATCGGGGGGACGCTGTTCTGACGTTTTCTTTTCCTTGAGTTTTCGACGAGGCGGGGTGGGTGCCTTGGACGCCAAGCCAGGCAGACACAGTGTCGTTGGCCTCGGGCTCGTCGAGGCCCGAGGGGCATCACCCCCAGCCCAGAGAGATGCCGCAAGTTGCTTCTTTCCTGAGTGAGTTTTTCACGAGGGATTGCACGGTGCGTGTAACCAGACACCTCCTTGGATGAGCGCCGCACCAGGGATTGTGCGAGGTACAGCCTTGGGTCGAGCACAGACGCTCGACGCTTGCAGGTAAGAGCGGATGAGACCACACGCAATGCCGAGTCTTTGTTTCTTCTTCTTCTTCTTCCTCCTCCTCCTCCTCCTCCTCCTCCTCCTCCTCCATCTCTCCCTCGTCACGACGTGCGTCTGCTCCACGCGCTGGATGCGGAAGAAGCCGGCTTTCAATGCAACCGTTTGCTCGGTGCTTCCTTGGTCGCACTTACAGGTGCCTCTGATAGCGTAGTGGTGGCATTCGCATTTTTATTCTGGCAGTTGAAGCTTGGTGTCCGCTCCCATCTTTTCCCTCCTCTCAAAAAACGCAGGCGTGGTTTCCAGCAGGGGCGGGGCGTGCACATCAGGGAGTGTTGGCGAACTTGGTACGCTTCGGCCTTCTCTTCAGGGTCCCGTCTCTAGTGTGCTGCTGGATCAGGACTGCAGAGGATCGTTTCCGAGCGACTCAGTCCGTCTTCTTTCGCTGGTCAACCCTGACCCGAAAAGTGAAGCGTCTCATGGTTCGCTTTTCCACACACACATCGCTTGGTTCATGCCAAACGTATAGAAGGTTTCGCGAAGCTCCCTGGGATATCCCGCACCAGTGGCCGCTGCACTAAACTGGCGGGTGCGAGATGGGCGAAAGTTCGAACATGTTTTATGGGGACGCTTGGTTTTTCCTTCCTCCTACCCCTCACTTTTCACCCCCTGCAGCCCAGGGCCCCAACACTACCTTCAAACAGAATTCCTTGATCCTGCCCACTTTCTTTCTTGGTACACCCTCCGATTTCCAGCAAAAGCATTCAGAACTGGTCGGTCTTAAAGGCACCCTCATCTCTCATCTCCTGATAAAACCTGCGTCCTCCACAAGAATTTCAACGATTCCCCGTGGATTACAAATGGGATCCGAAGGTTGGATTACCGAGGGGATCTCCAGGTGGGGCCCTTGGGCACTTCAAGATCTCCATGAGGTCCCAAGGCGCTCTTAGGATCCCGCAAGGAGTCCAGAGATGTCTCCTGAGGATCCCCGAGGAATTTCTCATGAGAGTCCTGGCAGATCTTGACGGCTCCCTGGGAGAAGTCTCCAGAAGTCCGGCCGAAACCTCGGTCCTCGAACCTCGATTTACTTCCTCCTTTCCTCGTCGTTCTCTTCCTCCTCCTCCTCCTCTTCCTCGATCTCTCCAGGATGCGGCGGCCAACTCTATACCCGCCGTGCCCTCACATTACTTCGGTCCTGTCTTGCCTCAAAGGAAGCAGCGAAGTCGTGAGGTCGAGGTCTCGAAGTCTGGGGGAATTCGCTCAGGTCTGGTCGAGCTGTAGTTGTAGAGTGGTGGAAGAGGAGGTGGAGAAGGAGGAGGAGGAGAAGGACAAGTGGGCTGATGATGCTGATGATGGCGATAATGATGAGGATGATGATGACGATGACGATGACGATGCTGATGATGTTGATGAGGATGCTGATGATGACGCTGATGATGATGATGACGATGATGATGATGATGATGATGATGATGACGACGGTACTGATGCTGAGGATGATGATGATGATGCTGATGATGATGATGCTGATGGTGATGATGATGATGCTGATGATGATGATGTTGCTGATGTTGCTGATGCTGCTGATGATGCTGATGATGACGACGACGATGATGATATGATGATTATGATAATGCTGCTGATGATGATTGTGATGGTGATTATGTATGATTATGCCGATGATGATTATGATGATGCTAATGCTGATGATGACGATGGTGATGAGGAGGAGGAGGAGGATGAGGATGATGAGGATGATGAGGTTGATGCGGATGAGGAGGAGGAGGTGGAGGAACAAGAGGAGGAGGAGGAGGAGGAGGAGGAGGAGGAGGAGGAGGAGGAGGAGGAGGAGGAGGAGGAGAGGATTGGGGATGAGCAGTCCGCTCGCTCCCATGAGAGGCCGCGGCAGGCTGTGGCGGGTTCCCGACAGGCCCAACTGATAGCAGGAGGAGGAGGAGGATTAGGAGGAGGAGAAGGAGGAGGAGGAGGACAGGGTCTCCTGCGGGGCCCTGTCCTCCTCTGGATATCAAGATGAGGAGGATGAGGATAGGGCCCCGCAGGAGACCCTTTCCTCGTCCTGAGGAGGGAAGGACCCAGGAGGATAGAGCCCCGCAGGAGATTGCTGTTGGAAGTGGAGGAGAATGAGGAGATGGAGTGTGAGGGCGAAAGCTTGGTGCGCTCGTGCATTACATCCGGCGTCCTGCCCTGCCCTCGCATCCCTCTACACTGCGTTGGCACCCTCTCTCGATCCGCAGGGCCCTGTGACGGTAGAGGCCTTGATTTCTGTGGGCCGCCTCATCGGAGAGACGCGCCAGAGCCGTTCTGGGGTGACACAAACACAACACCATTGCTGCTGATGCAGGACTCAGGCCAGCGATGCGACGAGAGCGCCGTTCCGTTGGACGGAGGCTTCATGGAACTCAGTACGTGTGGTACACGCCGCAGCGGGAGCACCAGCGTCGCTTATGCAGGATCTCGGCCACCGCTGCGACGAGAGCGCCATCCCTTGGACGGAAGATCGACGGAAATTGTCGAAAGCGGTGACTCCTGCAGCGGGAGCATCGTTTTCGATGACGCAAAGGACCGGCCAGCGGTGCGGTGGGAGCGTCGTTCCGTTGGGCGGAGGTTTTTTGGAGATCGTTAAATGTTGGAGGCGCTGCAGCGGGAGCATCACTTTGAAAAAGGCCGAAAGCCCATGTCCAAAACCAACCTGGCGCACACCTGGATTCAACGACGGTGTGCGAGACCGGCCAGGGCCAATGCAGTCGGCAGCAGGCGACAGCGGAGAGCAGTGGTCAGTCAGAGTGCGCGGCTAAGAAGGACGAGGAAGAGGAGCAGGAGAACGAGCACGAGGAGGATGTCCGCCGTGGCTGCGGTCGGAGCTGTTGGGAGGAGGAGGAGGAGGAGGAGGAGGAGGAGGAGGAGGAGGAGGAGGAGGCCAGCCGACTCCGACCAGTCCTCCGCCCCGCCGCCTGCCTCCTCCTCCTCCTCCTCCTCCTCCTCCTCCTCGGTTACTCGAGGGTGGACAGGAGGTCAGCCGACTCCGAGATGGCCCGCCGCCCCGCCCGGCCACAGGCCTGGACCTCTACCGGGTCACCTGCCCGATCGGGGTGCTCTCAACCACGCCTGTCGGCGGTTCCCGAATGTTGTCGAGCCGGACGCCCCCGAGTCGTCATCGTCGTCATCGTCGTCGTCGTCGTCGTCGAGGCTCCTCCTCCTCATCATCATCATCCTCCTCCGCCTCTTCCCTCCGCTCTCTATCCTTCTCCTCCCTCCTCTCCCACCCTCCGCTTCCCTCTCCTGCCTTTCCCCTGGGAGGAGGCGGCAGAAGGATGAGGGGGAAGGAGGAGGTGTTCAGAGGTTACCCTGCGATGCCTGTCTGTTCCAGAGGTTTTCGCAGGCTGGTTGGCTTTATGAGGTTTCCACAAGGGGAGATAGAGCAGGAGGAGGAGGAGGAGGAGGAGGAGGAGGAGGAGGAGGAGAGGAGGGAGGAGGAGAGGAAGGGAGAAGGAGCAGGAGGACAAGGAGGAGCAGGACGTGAGCAAAGAGAGGAGCAGGATGAAGGGAGAGGGAAGGAAGGCGAAGGAGGATGTGGAAGGCGTGGGGGAGGAGGCGGACGTTGGATGCCTGCATGTGACTCTGGAAATTCCCGGAGGCGTCGGTTTGTCATTTTCGTCGGGGCTGCCGCGTGTGTCGCCACCAAGGGGGAGAGCCCCACAAACGGGAATCGCGAAGGGTTGTGCTCATGTCATCGGCATGCGGGCTCATTGCACCTCATTGTCCTCCTGGTTTTGCAGGCTCGCCAGCTGCTCCCACCTTCCCCTCTTGTCTTCTGGGGCCTCGGGCTCCCGGTCCTGATCCCCTCCTCCTCCTCCTCCTCCTCCTCCTCCTCCTCCGCGTCCTCCTCCTTGTCCCCGACTGCCTCGCGTCGTGAAACATGCACGACGCCAGCTTTATGTTATCCAGCTGCCTTCGGCAAGTCCCGCCACCGAGCCACCCAATATTCTAGTTGGCGACTGTTCGGAGGCCGTCACGTGTGACACCTCCTGTCGCCAGGCTTGGGATGATGAGGCTGATGAAAATTGTGAGGATGATGGGGGTGATGATGACGATGAGGAGGAGGATGACGACGACAACGATGATGATGATGACGATGACGTTGATTAGCATGATGCTGATGGTGATGATGATGGTGGTGATAATGATTGTGACGACGATGGTGATGATGATCCTGATGAGGACACTAATCATGATTATGATGATGGCAGTGTTGATTATGACGAGGAGGATTATGGTAACGACGATGAAGATGACGATGGTGAGATGATGGTGATGATGAGAATGATGATGATGATGATGATGATGATGATGATGATGATGATGATGATGATGATGATGATGATGGTGTTGTTATTTGTGATGGTAATGGTGATGGTGATTGTGATGGTGATGCCGACGATAATGGTGGGGCTGGTGATGATGATTATGATGATGATGTCGATGATGGTGATGATGACTTGATGATGTTGATGATGACGCTGATGGCGCTGATGGCGCTGGTGATAGTGGTGGTCGTGAGGATGATGATTGTCATGATGGTAATTGTGATGATGATTGTGATGACAATGGTGATTATGACGAGCAGGCGGATGATGATGATGATGATGATGATGATGATTATGATGATTATGATGATGATGATGATGATGATGATGATGATGATGATGAAGATGATTGTGATGATGATGATGATGATGATGATGATGATGATGATGACGATGATGATGATGATGATGATGATGATGATGATGATGATGATGATGATCAATATGACAAGCAACATGCCAATGGTGATTGATGCTGATGATGATGATGACGATGTTCATGGTCTTGATGTTGTTGTTGATGGTGGTGGTGATGGTGGTGGTGATGATGATGATGATGATGATGCTGCTGCTGGTGATGATGATAATGATGTGATGATGATGGCGACGATGAAACTTGTTGGGCCGTCTTGGGACTGTCCCTGCCTCCTGTGAGGCAGCCTTGGGGGTCCCTTGGGGCCCCCTTGGGCCGTCTTCGGGACCTCTTACGCCGGCGTGGCGCTTTCTTGAGCCGTCTTTGGGCTCTCTTGGCCGTATGGATGGTGTTTGGGGGGCCGTCGTGGGGCTGTCTTGGCGCCGTCTTGGGCCGTCGAAGAGCTTTCTAAGGCCGTCTTGGGTCCCACGGGAGTCCCCTCTCGGCCCGTCATTGGGCCGTTTTGGAGTTCCCTCAGGCCATCGTGGGGTCCTCGTGGGCCATCTTGGGCTGACGGCAGCACGAAAATGCGGGAATGCGAAAATCAGTGAGCAACCCAAGGGTAATCAATGATTTTGTCCTTCTTCGGACCCTGCTTGAGGTCCTCTTGTAGCCATTTTGCACCCTCTTGAAGGCATCTTGGGCCGTCTTGAATCAATGTTCGGCCGCCTTGTGGCCATCGTGGGCCGCCTTCGAGGCATCTTGGGTCATCTGAGGCTCCTTGGTTGCATGCACGGGCTGTCTCGGAAGCTCGAGATTCCCACCGCCATTAGCGTAAAAAAGCTCATCCGCAGACGTTGCTTCGACGGTGCCGCCCCCGGACTCCACATTTCAACGTTGCGTTCGCGGCCGTTGTCGGGGTGTAGGCGTCGGCATAAAATAAACGCCCCATACTCCACCGCCAAGGCAACCCCGTTTTGAACATTTAAATTGGGGGGGCACTGGGTTCTGAACGCAGCAGCGCCGTCCATTATGCATGGTGGGCGTTTTTTACGTCGTCGGCGGTATCCATTGTCTTTAATGAGGGGTCGTGGCTTGGAAGGCCCTGGAGCGATTGGGAGCAGCGCTTGGAAATGCGGAAGTGCACGATCCTTGAGCGGGTGCGCGTGGGATGAGGGGTCTAGCGTCTAGGAGATAGCAGCCACGCGGGAAGTGCACGATCCTCGGGCGGGCGCGCGTGGAAGGGGGGTTCAGGCATGTGCTGCCATACTGTAAGTGCACCATCCTCGAGCGTGCACGAGGGAAGTGGCCTCGGAAAGGAGGGGCGATGCATGCAACAGTCTGCTGGTAAAGGGGGGGGGGCGGGCCTTTATTTGATTACAACAAGCTCTACCAGGCAGCTCCTGGCACTCTCCCACGCATCGACGTGCCAGGGAGCACGGTGGCGGAGTTTCAATTTTCTGCCTCAGGGGGCCAGGGATGTCAACATATCGACTCAGGACGCAACGCCGGTCCCGGGGGTTCACATTGTGAGGGGATCACGACGTCGGAGATTTGTAATCGCCCTCCAAATAAGCATTTTGTCGAAGGACTCGACCCTATGCAGATATGAATATCGTTGTTGTGAGTATCGCTTTCAGTGGGCCTTTTCCTGGGGCTACGAAGTGCGTGAAGCGTGTGCCGAAAATGGGGCGGGGCCGCCATGCGGGAGCTGCCAATGGGGCCGTAGTCCGTATGGGGCCATGAAGCGTGAATGGGTGGCGGGGGTGCATGCAGGCTGCGCCTCTGGGACATTTGGTCGAGCTCCCTACGGGGCCACGAAACTTGTGAGGGGTGTGCCAACATTTGCGCGGGGACGGATGCTTGCTGCGCCGCTGGGACCTTCGGTGGCTCTCCCTCTGGGGCCACGAAACGTGTGAGGGGTGTGCGGAAATTGGTGGCGGGGACACATGCGGGCTGCGCCGCTGGGACCTTCCGATGGGGCCACGAAACGTGTGAGTGTACGCTGGAATGGGTGGTGGGGGCGCATGCGGGCTGCTCTGCTGGGACCTTCGGTGGAGCTCCCTCTGGTGCCACGCAACGTGTGAGGGGTGTGCGGAAATTGGTGGCGGGGACGCATGCGGGCTGCGCCGCTGGGACCTTCGTTGGCGCTCCCTCTGGGGCCACGAAACGTGTGAAGGTGTGCCGGAAACGGAGGCGGGGGCGCATGCGGGCTGCGCCCCTGGGGCCTTCGGTGGAGCTCCCTACAGGGAAAAGAAACGTGTGAAGGTGTGCCGAAATTGTTGTCGTGGGCGCATGCGAGCTGCGCTGCTGGGACTTTCGGTGGAGCTTCACGCAGCGTGTGAGGGGTTTGCCGACATCGGGGGCGGGGACGCATGCGGGCTGCGCTCCCGAGACCTTCGGTGGAGCTCCCGATGGAGCGTGTGAGGGTGTGCCGACATAGGTGGCGGGGGCGCATGCGGGCTGCGCCGCTAGGACCTTCGGTGGAGCTCCCTCTGGGGCCATGAAACGTGTGAGGGGTGCGCCGAAATTGGTGGCGGGGGCGCATGCGGGCTGCGCCCCTGGGGCCTTCGGTGGAGCTCCCTATGGCGCCACGATGCGTTCGAGGTTGTGCCGGAAGGGGTTGTGGGGATGCATGCGGGCTGCGCAACTGGGCCCTTCGGTGGAGTTTCCGATGGGGGCACGAAACGTGTGAGGGGTGTACACAAGCTGATGGCGATGATGGTGATGAGGACGGCGATGATGATGACGATGCTGCTGACGATGATGGTGATAATGCTGCCGACGATGCCGATGCCGATGCCGATGATGATGATGCTGATGATGACGATGCTGATGATGATGCTGATGCTAATGCTGATGATTATGAGGAGGAGGATGCTGGTGGTGGTGATGATGCTGATGGTGATGATGAAGGGATGGTGGTGATGATGGTGCTGATGTTGATGATGATGCTGATGATGTTGATGCTTATGATGATGATGATGCTGATGAGGATGAGGATGAGGATGCGGATGCTGATGATGCTGATGATGATGAGCATGATGGTGTTGATGATGATTGTGGTGGTGATGCTGAGTACGATGACGATGATGATGTCGCTGATGGTGATCCTGATGACCACGATTATCATGATTGTGATGACGCTGATGCTGGTTTTGATGATGCTGATGATGGCGATGATGATGAGGATGAGGATTATGATGATGGTCATGATCGTGACGATGAGGATGATGATGATGGTGATGATGATGATGTTGCTGATGATGATGCTGTTGCTGATGATGATGATGATGATGATGATGATGATGATGATGATGATGATGATTGTGATGATGATGACAATAATGATGATGGTGATGGTGATGATAATGATCCTGATGATGTGGATGATGTTGATGGTGATGATGGTGATTCTGGTGGTGGTGGTGATGATGACAATGACGATGACGATCACGATGGTGACCATGATGACGATGGTGATGATTGTGATGATGATACGGGCGATGATGACGACGACGATGATGCTGATGATGATTATGATGGTGATGATGATAACGATGACGACGGTGATTATGATGATGATGCTGATGATGATGATGCTGATGATGATGATGATGATGATGATGATGATGATGATGATGATGATGAGCATGATGGTGGTGGTGGTGGTGGAGGTGATGATAATGACGATGATGAGGATGAGAGGAGGGAGAGGGGGTAAGAGGGCAGGAAGAGGGACGCGGGGCGCAGTCTCTTCAAAACGAGGACCCAACACCAAAGGATGGCTTGGACACAGCAGCAGGGTGCACTTGCTGTAGCCGCTGGGCCCACTCCTGAGCGTTGTGTGCAAACTGGAGACACCCCTGGGCAGGAGGGGCGCGAGGAGTGAGGCGGAAGAGTCACCCACGGCGTCAAAGAGGTGCCGGGTGGACCATCGTCGTCGGCGTCGTCGTAGTCGTCGTCGCGGCCGTAGTCGTCGTCGCGGCCGTCCTCGCCGTCGTCATCGACGTCGTCGTCGCCGCGGCCGTCCTCGTCGTCGTCGTCGTCGTCGTCGGCGATGTGTCCCTCGGCTTTCCCGGCTGCGTTTTGGACCCAAGTCGCCGCTGACAGCATGTTTGCAGCCGTCCCCCTCCTTCCCCTACACTGCTGCACGCCGGATCAGCGTGTCCCTCCACCCGTTCTGGCCCACGCCTCAGCCTCGGCGCGACACGTTATCCACGTCCCAGTCCCCTTGCGTCAAGGTCCCGAGCCTTTCCGAGCCTCCCGCCCCGCGAAGTTGAGCGACACGCTATCCGCTCCCAGGGCATAGCGTGTCGCCGGGGCCGCCGCCGCGACACGCTATCCAAAAGCTCCTGACCGTATTCAGCATCGGCGCTGGTATATCGGCGGTCGAACACCGTCTTTCTCCAACCCCATCCCGCTCAATCTGGCTGTCTGGACTCATCTGGCTTAACCCTTGGCGGAATATGGCGCAGTGGCCCACGAGAAGGACGAAAAAACGGTCCCGGGGAATGGGTCGGGACCTCAGGGGGTCGACGTTCTGAAAACATCATGCTGTCGGGGGTCTGGGGTAGGGGAGGGGGCATGGACCCCCCCACACATGCTGGTGCTCGCGTGCATACTGTGGCGATCGCAGCGCACCTCCGCCCTTACGTGCCCCCCTCCGCCCAAGCGCTACCGTTACACAGGGCCCCAAGCTCCCCTTCCCGGGTAACGTCAAGGGAAGACAAACCACCCAGACCCGATAATTGGCGTTCACTCAACAGCCCTGGGCGTTTGCTAAACAGCCCTGCCGTGTTCGATTCCTTCTTTGGGTGCGTTTGCTAAACGGCCTCGCTTGTCGGCGTGGTCATTGTGGGGGTGGGTTTTTTGCCCTCTATCACGGCCGCTACTGGAATTCAGAAAAGCTCTCTCGAGGAGCCCCTCTCCCCACGACCCTGCCGTCGCGCTGCCCGCAGCCCGCCCTCTGCCTTCCGTCTACAGGCTGGGCCCAGGCCCTCTTGGACTCTTGGTCAGGCAGGGCCTCCGGCCGCCCCCGTCGCCCCCCCTCGGGCCCGGGGGGCCAGCGGGCTCATCATCTTCGAGTCGCGCCCGGACGCGGCGGTGCAGATAGCGTCGCTCGCCATGAAGTCGGGGAACGCCCTGCTGCTGAAGGGGGGGCGCGAGGCGCAGCGGTCGAACGCCGCGCTGGCGGCCGCCCCAGGGCGGCCCGCCGGCGGCGGCGGCGAACGGCGGCCCGCGGCGGCGGCGACCACATCGGCGGCGGCGGCGGCGGCGACAGCGGCGGCGGCAACGACAGCGGCGGCGGCGAGGGCCGCGGCGGCGGCGGTGGCGGCGGTGCCGTCGGGTTCGTGGGCCGTGGCGCCCCAGGGGAGGGAGGCGCGGGAAACATGCAGCCGATGCGCTGCAAGAGTTGGCCACGCGCAGACCGGTGGTTCAAGGATGGGGTGCTGAGGGATGAGATCCAAGGGTAGATCTACGTTGCTTGAGCCTCCTGGTCCTTAGGACCCCATCCCTCGGGACGCCGTCTCTGAACCACCGATCAGAGGGGGATGGAGGGAGGGGGAGGGCTTCTTAAAAGCACCCCTGCTTTTTAGAGTTCGCGGGCCCAGTACCTGTAGACGTGGGGCCAGCGCCTTCTAAGAAGCAGCCTCCTTCTATCAAGGAAGAACAACGGTATAACACTTAACTTTCGGAGCTCCGCGCGGATTTTTTGGATCTGCGCTTGGCCCCCCTGGCGGCGCCTCCAGCGCCGCCCATGGCGCGCTCCGCGCGCCAGGGAGGGGGGCCCAGCGCGGATCCGAGAAATCTGCGCGGACCTCCAAAAGTTTGCATGTGTATATATATATATATATATATGTGTGTATATATATATATATGCCGTTCTTTTTTTTCATTATAAGAAGCCTTTCCCCCTCTTTGCGTACCCCCTCTTGTGCGCGCCGCCCAGGGAAAAACATGCCGCCGAGGCGTTGCAATGCTAAGCAAAGATCCTGGGGCTCTCTGGTGATCGGGCCGCTCCTGCGAGAAGAAGATTGGGTCGGCCAGCGCCTGGTCGCTCGTCGAGCCCAACCACTGCCGGAGGAGGCCCTTCTCTCCTTGCCTAGCGTTCCGGTGCAGTCAGCCCGCATAGTGAGGATGGGCGACTTTCTCAAGGGTACCCCTGCTTCCTTGCCTCCTCGGTCCATCCTTGGCCACTCTCTTTGGCCTCGCCCCGCTCGAAAAGCTTGGGACGGCGAGCCTGGTCGCTCGTCGAGGCCAACCGCTGCCGGAGGATGCCCTTCTCTCCTTGCTTTAAGTCGGGCATGTCCCTCTAGAGGAGGACTATTCGAGGATAGTAAAACAATAATGCGGGCAAGATTTTTCGTGTTCTTTTTGACTATGTTTGATTGTTTTGTTGGCATGTTTCAGTTTTCTTCCGAAATCCGCCTGTAGGAGGACATGTCCGAACTAATCCTTGCTCAGCGTTCCAGTAAGGTGCTCGATCATGGAACCCTTGTTAACCGCCGGCGCCCAGCTTTCACGCCGAAGGCCGCGGGAAACTGCCGAAGGCCGCGAGAAGCCGCCGAAGACCGCCATAAACCACTGGAGACCGCCAGAAGACCGCCGAAGACCGCCGAAGTCCGCCGAAGATCGTCCGAAGACCCACGAAGAGCGTCGAAGACGGCCCAGGAGCGGTGGGTAACGAGGTCCATGGTCGACTGCGTAGCCCCTCTTTCCTCGTTCAGCGCTCCCTGGGGCAGCACGATGGCTGTCAACGTGTGGAGGTCCGCGCGGATCTCTTGGGTCGGCGCCGAGCCCCGTCCGGCGCCCTAGGCGCTGCCCCCTGGTGCCTCTTCGCGATCGCTAGAATGGCGGCCCAGCGTTGGCATCATCATCATAATCATCATCGTCATCATCATCACCATCATCACCACCATCAGCATCATCATCATCATTATCACCATCGTCATCATCATCGTCATCATCGTCATCATCATCGTCATCATCGCCATCATGATGATCATGCTGATGCTGATGATGATGATTATGGTGATCATGCTGCTGATGATGATGATGCTGATGAGGATGATAATGGTGATCATGATGATGGTGATGATGATGCTGATTAGGATGATGATGACGACGGTGATCATGGTAATACTGATGATGATGATGATGATGATGATGATGATGATGATGATGATGATGATGATGATGCTGACGACGATGATGATGATGCTGATGATGATGATGCTGATGATGATGATGATGATGATGATGATGATGATGATGATGATGATGATGATGATGATGATGATGATGATGATGATGATGATGATGATGATGATGCTCAGGAGGGAAAAAGCACAGGCACAAGTCAACGTCGATTTCCATCAGGCTGCCCTCCCACGGCTTTGCGCTGTTCCAAGAAGTTGGGCAGCTGTCTGCACATCTCCTGGCCGAACTCCTCTGCCTCATCTTTACCGACACGCTGCTGGTGGATCCAGGGTGGACTGCTACGACTTCGAGCAGCTGGGTGTTGATGGATCGCGCCGACAAACAGAAGCACGTTGGCTTCCATGAGGCAGGGCTCCCTTCAGACGGGGCTAGGGCGAGGATAAGTCCGTTCCACAGCGTTTCGGAACGCTCCCAGAGCGTTCTGGAACGCTCTGAGCAGGCCGCGGCGCCCGAGACATCCTCCAGAGCCGCCGCATCTCAGAGATTCTCGATTCGCTCGATTCTCATCCGCCTGGTGGTTGACAGATCCGCTGCGGAAAACAAATCTATGCCTAGATGCTTTGCCCCAGCATCAGGGGGAGATCTCTGTCCAGCCCTCCGGGTAGGGAAGTCCCCAGGCTTCGCGGCCAGGGAACCCCCTTTCCATTCCGTGCTGTCGACGTGCCTCGGGAGTTGGGGACAGAACGAGTGCGTGACCCAGCCGCAGTTAGGCGGGATCGAGGAATGATGAATGAAGAACGAACACAACGTGGCGCGGGCACCGCCCGCAGTTGGGTGGGAGGAGGGGGAACGAACCAAAACAGCAAGCACTGTTCGGTTCGGGCCGAGGACACCAGCAGCTCGGGGACTTGACATCCCGAGCCCGACTCAACCCCCGAGCACCAGTTGGGATGCCCGGGTGTGGGCCGCCTGTGCAAAGAGCGAACTCGGTGCCGGGTATGGAGCGCGACGCGGATATCAGTTGGGATACCGGCCGCGCGGGTCACAAGACAAGTCAAAACAAGTGAGCAGACCCACGCATCAGTTGGGATGCGGAGCCTGCGGCAATACAGTATACACGTCGACATGCACGGCGAATCGGAAACCGGCGCGAACCCCAATCGAGAAAGCAGCTCTCTCATGCTCTCTCACTCCCTCACGCTCTCTCTCCCGCTCGCTCTCTGACTACCCTGCGCTAGCCTCCTGCCGCACAACCCATACCTCGCCAGTACTACTCCCAATCCGTGACGGGATTACCCCCAGGAAGTTGCGCACTGCTCAGCCCGCATGCGCTGGCTACCAGGCCAGGCATGCGCGCTCCTCTGGGACCGGCTGGTGCAGCCAGGCACCAGACCGACACTTGTCCGAAAGGCTTCGCCCTCCCCCTGAGTAGGTCATGATCCTCGCCTGCTTTTCTCCTCGCCCTGGCTTCGTCTTACCTCTGAAAGGGCTCCCTGGGACCCCGCGACAGCCGGAAGCGCCCAAAGAAGCGCTAACCCCCAGTGACCAGCGCTACCCCCCAGTGACTTTTTGGCAGAAGGTCCGTGGGTTGACAGGCGCAGAAAAACAGCATCCATCTTGTCTTGATTCGGTGCGGGCCCCACTTTTGAGGACCCCGCGACGGCCGGAAGCGCCCAAAGAAGCGCGGGGCACGGTGCCGCCCTCGGGACCTCGGCGCTTCTCGGAGCGCGCCGTATGCCGGCGAGGGCCCCAGCAGGCCGAGAAGGGTCGAGGGAGTTCAACCTGGCTAATTTGACACCTCACCCTCCTCCTCTTCCTCCTCCTCCTCACCCTCCTCCTCCTCACCCTCCTCTTTCTCTTCGTCTTCCTCCCTCCCCTCGTCGTCGTCGTCCTCCTCCTCCTCCTCTTTCTCGTCCTCCTCCTCTTCCTCTTCCTCTTCATCCTCCTCTTCTTCTTTCTCCTCTTTCGCTTCCTCCTCCTCATTCCCCCGCCTCTTCTTCCTCTTCTGCCTCCTCGACCCCCTCCTCCTCCTCCTCCGCCTCCTCTTCTTCCTCCTCCTCCCCCTTCTCCTCCTCCTCCTCCAACGTCTGTTATTCCCGACCGAATCGTTATACCCAAAATCCTGAATTCCTCTTTCACCACCTCCGCCTCCCCGTCCTCCTCCTCCTCCTTCTCCTCCTCCTCCTCCTCCTCCTCCTCCTCCTCTCCTCCTTCACCAGATCAGCAACAAGGCCGACTGGAAGCGCTGGTGTACGGAATATCTGGGCGAGATCTTGGGCCGCGAAGACTTCCAACCACTTGATGTGACCCGCCTTGGCGCAGACGGATCGCCACCGAGATGTGCCGCCAAGCCTGGGAGAACACCGCCGTCGGTCGCACGCTCCTGGAACACCGCCCCACGCGCCCGACGTCCATGAGCGAGGAGGGGCGCCAACAGGCATCGCTGCTCTCGGAAGGGGCCGCTTTACACCGTGCCCGCCGCCGTTGGGTCAGTTCGGACGTCTTCGACACCCTGCCCGAGGAGATCGACGACGACCCCGACCTGGACACTCAGGACGTGTACCCGACCGACGACTTCGGCGAGCCCGAGAAGATCGACATTCTGCAGCCCGTCCGCGTGCCACAAGCATCTCCTGCTCGGCTGGTCTGCCATCAAGGTGTTGACGTTCGCATGGACGCCTTCGCACGGGAGCGCGCGCGTCCTGCACGAGGAGCGCCCCATGCCACTTCGGCAGCGGCGCTGGGGAAAGCAGCGACCAGGCCCAGCACAACACGATTTACGGGAAGATGTGGAAACAGCTGTGCCTGCCCCGTGGCCGGCTGAGTGGCGAGCTCCTCTCCCGCCTCCGGCTCCCCTCGCTCGATGCCGAGCTCCACGGCGAGAGCGGGATCCCCAACACGGTGGACACGATGTCGGTGGCCACCCGCGTCTGCCACATGACGCATGACGACCACATCCCGATCTCGTGCAGCAAGCAACGCGCCACCAGTGGTGCCGCCCGCCACGCCTTGAGGTTAGCGCCCGACCTCGCGGACGGAGCGGGGCCGCGTCATGTAGGCGAACGTCCCGTCGGCGACGTTCGCTCCTCCTCCTCATCCTCCTCCACCTCCTCCACCATTTCTTCTTCTTATGAGCACCTCCCCCCTGTCGCACCCCAAGCTGGTCGGAAGGGCGGGCCGGGCGTGTCGCGTGAGACTGCCCTACCACTGATGGCCCTGACAACAGCTTGAAAGATGGACGGCGGGCCGCTTCCAAAATATGGCTATCGGCTTTGCCCCGCGTGCATTCGTAAAACACATTGCAAAGAGCTTTACGGATTGAGGACAGGTCGTGTTCAAAATGTGGTTCTCGCGTGAGAGCCGCACGCGTTGTTTTTTGGTTTTGAGATAGTTGCCAGAGCTTCACGGATGGAGGGCGGGTCATTTTCGAAACGTGGCTTTCGCTTCAGCACCGCCCACGTTTGTTTCAAGCAGTTGCAAGGCTTTCACGGCATCTGATGGCTAGTGTACCAGACATGGTGTTTAGGAGCGATGTAAGGGTTGCCAGCGCGCAACACGTATGTTGATTCGCAGTGTTGAAGTCTAAGGAATGGTGATCTTGCGCGAGTCATGATCGTCAAGACGCAACAGTAGGGTTCATTCGTGGCGTTGAAGTCCCAAGAGTGGTAGTCAGGCACGGTTCAAAATGTTCAAAATATTGTCTCCCAACGGGGCACTTACCTCAGTGGAAATGAATCCCTCGGGGGGCCTCTGAAGAGGGAGCTAGGAGGGAGGGTTTAGTGCAACATCGTTGATGAGTCTAGAGTTTACACTGGTCCTCCTCCTCCTCCTCCTCCTCCTCCTCCTCCTCCCCATCCTCCTCCTTCTCCTCCTCATTTTCCTCTTCATCGCCATCCTCCTCCTCCTCCTCCTCCTCCTCTCCGCCCTCCTCCTCCTCCTCCTCCTCCTCCTCCTCCTCTTCCTCCTCCTCCTCCTCCTCCTCCTCCTCCTCCTCGTCTTCCCCCTCTTCCTCCTCCTCCTCCTCCTCGTCCTCTTTCTAGCGGTGGGGCTGCGAAGGAGGGCGTGGGTGGAACGTGTCCTGTCGAGAACCCACGGCTCAGTGGCCCGACCTCCGTGTTTGGCCTGCGCGCGACCACGCCGTCCTGGAGGCGGAGGCCTCCAGGACAGCGAGGTCTAGGGGGCCGTTGGCATTCTTCGGGGCTGAAGAGACGGGGGTCAATACAAACGGGGGTCGGCCAGAGCGCCCGATTTTGCAGAATCCTGCAGGGCCAGGGTCGCACTGACCCGGGTTTGGGTGCAGGATCTTTCAGGATCGCGCAGGATCCTGCAAGGTTTAATTGGCCCGCGTCTGGATTGACCCCGGTCAGAAGATCCCCGAATTCTGTGCCTCCTGTGGCCCGGTCTGTGCTGTTGGAGGCCGCAGCGGCAAATCGGCTCTGGTGCCAGACTGCGCGGGGCACCGTTCGTTTGGTCGTTGGTCGGGAATGCCAGTCGGCTTGGATTTTGTATGGTCGGCATCCGAGCCAAAAACGGGTTTTGTCGTCGCTCGGGCCATTGTGTTGTCCGAGAGAGCGCGTGACCACTTGGCGAGGAGGATGGGCCCCCCCTCGTCCTTGCAGCTCTCTGTCTGCTTCTTCTGTTCCGGGGGCGGGAGGGGAGGGGCGTGGGTCGACTTGGTGCGAGGCCTTGCCCCCCGCGGGTTCGCCCCCCGTGCGAAGGCTGAGTCCCGCGAGGCTCGAGCGCGGGAGCGCCGTCGGCAGTTTGTGCCGTCCCCCGAGAACCTCAAATTCGAATGTTCTTTGCGGTCTGTTCATGCGTGCGAAGTTGGTGGCACCTTTCCAGCCGTTGTCGAGCTCTCCTCCTCCTCCTCCTCCTCCTCCTCCTCCTCCTCCTCCTCGTCCTCCTCCTCCTCCTGCTTGATGTTTACCAGGTGTGGACCTCTGCCCCAGGTCGTTCCTTGACGGCCACGCGGCCCGGCGAGGGATCGGGAGGCCAGGAGCGGCCCACCGTTTTCACAACCCGTCCTGGAAAACATCCCGACGGGAGCCCTGCAGACCCCACCCTTTTGCTGCATTTTTTCTCGGGCCGCCTCGATCCGTGATTGTCCCTGGGCCCCGCTAACGACGCAAAATCGCTCATTGGGGAAACACTGCAACCCTAGGATCTATCCCCAGAGCCCCGCGCTCCAATGTTTGTCAGTGCCGCCGCTCTCCAAATTTTCCGGTGCACCTCAAGAGGCCTGGACCGCTTCCCTCGTATACGCCCTGCCGTCCGGAAGCGGAGGAGGGTGCAGCGGGGGTGGGGGTGGTTCCGATCTCGCCGCTTGCGCGCAGGGTCGGCCCCCATCCCCCCCTCCTCCGCTCATTGTGCTCGTCGTCGGCGTGCACACGGTGGCGGCCCTCTGAGCTGCTGCCCTCCATGTCCTCGCGGCTAGGGGCTAGGGTCCGTTCCCGTGGATGCTAGACCTTGACTGTTCCCTGTTCCATGCTGTTCTCCTGGGGGCTGAATCCACACCCAGACATGCCGTTCCGGTTGGTCCGGAGGCTCGGACCCCTGGGTCTCAGTCAAAGTCGAGCCTCGCAGCTCAAGCCCGCGGGGGCGCCGCACGGCGGCCGAGCTGACCTCAGAGGCTCTTTGATGCCCCCCCCAAAAAAAACTGTCGGCTTGCAATGCTCGTCCTCCCCCTCCTCGTCCCCCCCCTCCTCGCCCTCCTCCTCGCTCTCCCTCCGCACCCCTCCGCGCCCTGCTCCTCGTGCTCCCCTCCTCGCCCCCCCCCCCTCTTGGACGTGGGCCAGGCGTGAAGAGTGTCCTCCCCCTCGTCCGCCCTCTCCTCGCCTCCTGGGAAGTCCCAGTGATTCTATACAGGGGGTGCCGCACGGAGGCCGAGCGAGCCGTGCCGGGCGAACCGTGCGGCGGACGAGCGCCGAGGTCGCCGCGATGGCGGCGGCCCTGCAGGAGGCGGGCCTGCCCGAGGGCTGCATCCAGGCTTGGGGGGGCCGCCACGGGCTGGCGGCGGCTGGCGGCGGCCGCCCGCGGATCCGCCGACCTGAAATCCTAGAGATCCGACGCTCCAGAAAACACATGACTTTTCGGCATGGGGTCCCTCGAGATCCGGCGCTTCGACAAAATGGGAGCGGGCGGCTTCTGGTAGTTTCCGGCCTCCAGGAGCCCTCGCCAGGCCTCTGAAGCATCAAAGCACGACTCTGGACGAAAGTCCGGCCCAGGGGAAGTGGTCTGGACCTCCAGGGCCCACGCATCGGAAAAATTGGAGCAAGCCGGGTATCTGGGATCGGGTCAGGAAAGAGTCACGATGTAAGTTGGGTGCGCTGGGGGTGGTCTCCCTATCCGTTTCGGTCTTGCAAAGCGTGGCAGGCGTTGCACTTCCTCGACAACACAGGGGGTGCGCTGGGGGTGGTCTCCCTATCTTTTTCGGGTTAGCAAAGCGTGGCAGGCGTGGCACTTCCTCGACACCATAGGGGGTGCGCTGGGGGTGGTTGCCCTGTCCGTGTCGGGCTCGCAAAGCGCGGCAGGCGCGGCAGTTCCTCGACACCACAGGGGCTGCGCAGGAGGTGGTCCCTGAGCGCGGCCGCTATGCACGGCGGTCGTCCAGGGCATAGCAGGCGTGGCATTTTCTCGACGCAAGACGGGGTGCGCAGGGGGCGGTCCCTCACCGCGGCCGCTATGCGCGCCGGTCGTCTAGGGCATAGCAGGCGTGGCACTTTCTCGACACCATAGAGGGTGCGCAGGGGTTGGTCCCTCACGCGGCCACTATGCACGACGGTCGTCCAGGGCATAGCAAGCGTGGCGCTTTCTCGACGCCAGACGGGGTGCGCAGGGGGTTGGTCCCTCACCACGGCCGCTATGCGCGCCGGTCGTCCAGGTCACCGGGCTCGCAAAGTGTGGCTGGCGCGGCGCTTCTCCTCTTCCACCTCTCCTCTTAAGTGGCGTCACCAACGGTATCGGCGGGGCAACGGCCACCAACATCATTCTCACATGCCTCACTTCAGCTATCATCACTCCAGCCATCATATAAATATGTGGGGGTCCTCAGTAGCGCAATTCCCAGACATCCTGTGGTGTTGGGTGCTCGTTTTGTAGAGACGGTCCCCGCGTTCTCTCTCCTCTCCTCTCCTCTCCTCTCCTCTCCTCTCCTCTCCTCTCCTCTCCTCTCCTCTCCTCTCCTCTCCTCTCCTCTCCTCTCCTCTCCTCTCCTCTCCTCCTCTCCTCTCCTCTCCTCTCTCTCCTCTCCTCTCCTCTCCTCCTCCCTCCTCCTCCCTCCTCCCTCTCTTCCCTGCGTCCCCCCCACTCAGTACAGCGCTTCATGGCCCCAGAGGGAGCTCCACCGAAGGCCCCAGTGCCACCGTCCACATACGTCCCCCCACTCAGTACAGCGCTTCGTGGCCCCATAGGGAGCTCCACCGAAGGCCCCAGTGCCACCGTCCACATGCGTCCCCCCCACTCAGTACAGCGCTTCGTGGCCCCAGAGGGAGCTCCACCGAAGGCCCCAGTGCCACCGTCCACATGCGTCCCCCCCACTCAGTACAGCGCTTCGTGGCCCCATAGGGAGCTCCACGGCTCCAGACCTGCGCGGGCTCGCGCCGCGGCCGCCCCGGCTCGAGACCGGCGGCCCCGCCGCGCGGGAGGCCCGCCCCAGGTGGGCGCGCACAGGGCGCGCGCGCGCCGCGCGCTCGCGGCGGGGCTGGGCGCCCGAGGCGGCGCTGGCGCTGGCGCCCGCGGCGGGGGCGGCGCGCTGCCAGAGGGTGCCGCCGCCCGCAGCGGCGCCGCCCGCGGCGACAGCTGGCGGAGGCCCTGGCGTTGCCGGAGGCTCCTTGGCGCGGGCGTGGGCTGCTGCCGCAGCTGGAGGCCCTGCATCTGCCGCTGCCGCTGCCCTGCCGCAGCCGCTGCTGTGCGCTGCCGTGCCGCTGCCGCTGCCGCTGCTGCTGCCGCCGCCGCAGCGGCATTCGCAGCCGCTGCCGCTGCCGCTGCCGCTGCCGCAGCTGCATGCACACGTGGACGCACGTCTCTCCGGCGCTCGGCTCTCAAGGTGCGCGTCGTGGCCGGGTGGCCGTCCGCGTGGCGCTTTCCGGGACTGCAGTATGGCTTCGCCTTCGGCGTCTCGTGACGCGGCGGAAGACCAACGGAAGGCGGCAGCAGCACGCCGGTGGCGGGGGCACCGGCGGCAACGGGCGGGAGGTCGGCGGAATGCGGCAGACGTGCAAGCGTGGCGTCATTTGGTATGTACTCCACGGTTTCCAGGGTGGGCCACGTGGCGGCGCGTCTCTCCAGCGCGCGGCCCTCATGCGCTGTCGGCGCGCAGACCCTCCACACGCGTGTCCCGCGCCTGGCCTCCACATGTTTCGGGTACACGTCAGCGTGGCCCTTCGACGGGATGGCGTTCGGTGCGCAGCTTCTGGGAGGCGCGGGGAGTAAATCCCAGGCACGCAGGCTGTCTGTTGCATCGCACGCAGCGGTCGGCAAGCCCGCGCATCAAAGGAAACTCTTGCCTGGGGTCGTCCTTGCGTGCAGCCAGATGCCTCAGTCCAGCCGCACGTGTTTCCAGTTTCCCGTTTTGCCTAATTCGATCCCGCAGTGCCCCTCGGTTGCCTCGGCCGCGGACTGGTGCCAAGCCGCTGCGATTAGAAACAACTAGTGGCGTTTCCCCAGACCTCTCGGCCTCGTGAACGGTTCTCCCAGACCCCCCGACGTCATGGCCTTTCCACAGCGCCGACGCCCTCGAGTCTGGACCCCTTTCCCGGGACTGGTGTTTCGTCCCGAGTCGCTCTGCGACGGCCCCGAGGCCCAGGAAGGGCCCCCGGAGGCCGAAGACAACGAGAAAGCGGCCGTCGTGACTTGCCCACGACTCGAGGCCGAACCGCGCCGAGCCGAACTCCCGTCGTGCTCTTCCTGGGCGGCGCGAGGGGGGGCCTGGGCCCTGGGCTCGGGGCGGGCGCTCCCTCTGCCGGGACACATCGGGCCTCGGCCTCCCAGGGGGGGGGGAGGGCCGGCCTGGGGCCCACGGAAGGGCCATCGCGCGGGGCGGCCCGCAGAAGAACAGAGAGTGGTCCAGGCGGGTGGGCGCCAAAGCAAATCGGCCACGCGCAGAGGGGGTCGGGGGGAGGGGGGGGGCTTCTTAGAAGCACCCCTGCTTCTTGGCAGGCGCGGGCCTTGTCTGTAGATGCAGGGCCGGCGCCTGCTAAGACGCAGCCTCCTTCTGAGAAGCCTCCCCGCCTCCCCCTACCCTCCCTGTGCGCGCCACCGAAAGCAGGCGACCCGCGGAAGAAAAGGCTGGTCCGGGCGGGTGGGCGCCAAAGCAAGACAGCCTTGCAGGTGTGTTTCAAATGTACTGCTTCGGAGGAGGAAAAAGTACCGCTGCCGCTGCCCTTCCGTCGCTTTTGCCTTGTGGGGCCTCCTGTGAGACCCTTGTCGCATCGCTGGACCATGGCTGCCTTGGGCGGCTGGTTTCTGGCGATTGCGCGACTGGCACAAGCAGATCTGCTGCTAAACACAGGCCCAGACCCAGACTCAGACCCACCCCTCCCCAACCCTTCGGCCAAAGGTCGAAACCCCAAATACAACAACAACTCTTACAAGAGTGGTCTGGGCGAGTGAACGCCAAAGCAAAACAGCCGTGCAGTCCAGCGCAGCGATGGCCAATGCATTCTCTAGGTGTCCAGAGCCCAGAGGAGGCGATACACTTACTATGATCCGACGGCTTGATTGTCCCGACGCTAGGTCCCCAGAGGACCCGAGTTGTTTTCCCCAGGGCCGGCGTCTTACCCTGGGTATTCTGAGACGCCTTATTGTTGGTCCCATAGGGCCCGGTGAGAGCCCCCACTGTCAGGCCAAAAAAGCGGCGCAGAACAGGTCCGTGCTCTGTTCCCCACCCGCGCCAGGGGCGGGGTTTGGGTTCTGAGAGACGAGCGCCCGATCCGCCTCTCCCATCAGGGGCAACGATAGGGGGGGATAGGCACAGGCGGGGATGCATCGACCCTGATTCAATCGTCCATTAATCGCCGATAGGTGTCCGATAGCTCCAACCTGCTCAGGAACGTGTGGATTCACTATCGGATGCCTATCGCCGATCTATCCGCGGTGTATCGCCGCTTCCAGGTCGATGTTTCCCCCCCTACCTCCTCCTCCTCCTCCTCCTCCTCCTCCTCCTCCTCCTCCTCCTCCTCCTCCTCCTCCTCATCCCTCTCCGTAGCCATTTTGGCTCAAGATGCATTGTTCCCCAAAGGAACAAGTGGATACCGGTAGTCCGCGGCAGACAAGACCCTTGGCGGTCTGGCAGAGATTGTTCATCGCACTGACGCTCGCGCCCACGGGTCAACGGAGGCCTTTCCCGTTCCTGTGCGAGCGAACGTCCCAGTCGTGCTCATGGGGCCTGCTGCTTGTGATCGCCTTCATCCTACACCGTTCATCGCATGGACACCGCGGGAGAAGCCGACACAGATGTTGCCTCGATCGGTGGCGGCAGCTCCTCTGATGAGCAGCGCCGCTCTGCGTCCCGCAGCGGTGGCAGCCGTGGTGCTCGTCGTGCTGCTCGCGCCCGCCCCTCTGTCAATGGCTCCGCTGGTGCTGCTGCTGAACCCCCTCGCCGTCTTCGTCGTGCTGGCCGCACTCGGGGCGCGGGCGGTGACGCCCCACCGCCAGCATGTGCCTCCGCCTCGCGTCGTGGCCCTGACCCTGCCGTTCTTCGCTCCACCACGGGCACGGCGCAGCGCGGTACCGACCTCGACGGGCCACCCAACCAGTGGGATCCTGAGCAACGTGCTCGCTTGGCGGTGGAGCTCGAGATGGCCCCCACGTTCCCCTCGCAGGAGATGCCCCACACGCCCCCAGCAGCCACCCGCAGTGCCCCACCCGCGCCCTTCGACCCGTGGGCCGCGGCGGCGGCGGTGGGGGGGCCGCCTCGCGGCTGCGCTGCTACTGATTGCGCTGCTGCCTGGGCGGGGGAGGAGGGCCAAGCTGCATTCACTCGTGCCTTCTATCACGCAGACATTGCTGCCCGCTTCACCCAGCTACGACATGAATTCGATCACATCGTCTCCACGGCCATCACGAGTTCTGTGCAGCAATCGAATGCTCCGATCCTTGCCACCCTCAATACCCTCCAGCGGCAGCTCTCGACGCAGCACGCGGACATTGACCAGCATGTCATGGGCACAGTCCGCCCGCAGCTTGACGAGCTCCAGCGCCAGTTCAGGAGCAGCAGGACGCCCTCAGCCGCCGCGTCGACCACACCGAGCGTGATATCGAGTCACATGCTACGAAGCTGGCGGACCTCCAACAGCAGATCCAGGCGCTTCGCCAGCAGGCTGAGATCGACAGGCAGCTCCCGTCTCGCCGTCCTGCACCCCCTGGCTTCGATCGGGAGATCGACCCCGCGCAGGTCATCGTCGTGGCCAACAAGCTCGCGGGCATCGTTGGGGTTAGAGACGTGGTCAATAACTTCATGGGTGAGTTCAATTTCTCGGAGGGCGACACATATTCGATCATAGCGCTCACCCCTTTGCCGTCTAAAAAGTTAGCGATCTCCTTCTCGGGCCCGATTGGTCTCGCCTCTCGCCGAGTGCAGACGTGCAGACAGCATTGGGCAACCTCAAAGTGGATGGGTCCTGGCGTGAATTTCACTACCCTGTCCAGGGTGCGGAGGCTGCGCGGCTGCACTTTGGCCCAGACAAATCCCCGAAGCAAGTTCGAGGTGAGATGCTGCTCAGGAAGGTCCGCTCCTCGCTCTTGGAGGCTGACCCACAGAGGCGGTGGTTCGTCGACCGCGAGCGGTGGGTCCTCAAGTCAGACTACACGGACGTCCTCCGACTCATTCCTCGCCCTGGTGATGAGCCCACTGAGATATCGTGGAACGACGCGGGGATTCGTGCTCTCGGGCTGGACGAGCGCGAGCTCCAAGGTGCCATCCGCTGCGTCACTTCTGCCCCATCAGCTACCCAGTGGTGTCTTTAGCAAAGTAACGGAGATGTTTGTGCTTCCTGTGGGGCAGGTTGGCGGAGAATTCACAGCCAGCCTCCAAATCTTGGCATGGAATGCACGCGCCCTTCTCCAAGCTGGCGGTGCGAAAGCCCCGTCTAAGTTTAAATACTTGCAGCGATTGCAGCCTGGTCGGGCTATCATCGCTCTCCAGGAGGTACATGCTGATCGTATCGAGCTGAATGACTTTATCGCCAGGGCCTCTGCCTCCGCCGTCGTCCATAGCAGTTTCTGCGAAGGGGATGATGGTAATATGGTTCGTGGCGCTGGGGGTGTTGCTGTCATTCTACCACCTCTCTCTTCCTCGGCTGTCAGTAGTTGTGCGATGCCTCTCATTAAAGGCAGGGTGCTTCGTGTGGACGTGGTTCTTGGGGCGACACAACTGGTGATCTTTAATGTGCACAACCACGGCTTGCCCAAGGGTGGTGTACAACACTTCTGTGAGCATATTCGTTGTGCGCTGCGTCTTGCCGCGGATAATCCCATGTCGTACTTTGTGGTCGTGTTGGGTGACCTCAATTACAGTTACGACCCTTCTCTCATCTTTCATCGCCCGAGTGGCGCGCAGCTGCAACATTGTCACGATCACAAGGTACATGCGCCACTTTGGGCCGCTACCTGAGTTAAGATGATGGAAGTGAGCTCTGAAGCTGCGACCCACTTCTGCAAGTTCACCAACTCCGTCAACATCCTCGACCGCTTCTTCTGCTCGGCCACAGGTTGGATGATGTGCCAGCTGATGACAGACGTCGCCGCGGTCAACAGTCCCGAGCTCCTCAGCGCCAAGGGCGTCTCCGACCATGCCGCTCTTTCTGTTCGCCTTCGGCTTCGCGGCGCCAGGCCGGCCGCAGAAAGGCCGATGCCGAAGCGCATCT